AAAAAAAAAAAAAAAAAAAAAAGAAAAACAAAAGCTTTTTCTGTATTGATGGAGATGATCATGTGATTTTTGTCTGTGGCTCTATTGACATGTGTATTACATTAATTGATTTGTGTATATTGAACCATCCAGATTCATCCTGGAATGAATCCCACTTGGTCATGGTGTATAATCTTCTTGATGATTTGTTGCATTATGTTTGCTGGTATTGCATTGAGAATTTTTGCATCTGTATTCATTAGGGAGGTTGACCTATAGTTCTCTTTTTTGTCAGGTCTTTCTCTTGTTTTAGTGTCAGGATAATAATTGCCTCCAGGAATGAGTTTGGGAGAATTCCTTCCCTTTCAATTTCACCGAAGAGTTTGAGAAAAATTGGTGTTAAATCTTTTCTAAATTTCTTGTGGAAGTCAGCTATAAATCCATCAGGACCTGGGCTTTTCTTTTATCATGCTGTTTTTTTCCATTGGTAAGTTTTTTATTACATTTTCAGTTTTGCTTGCTGATAATGCAGTTATTCAGGATTTTTATATTTCCTTCATTCAGCTTTGGTAACTCATATGTATCTAGAAATCTGTCCATTTCCTCTGTTTCCCATCCTATTAAAGATTTCTGAAGTAGGCATTCATCTTCTGAGTTTCTATAAGATCTGTAGTGATTTCATCCCTTTAATAACTTATTGCATGTATTTGTTTTTTCTTTCCTTTTTTTAATAAGGTTGGCTAGAGGTTTATAAATTTTATTTATTTTTTCAAAGAATCAACTCTTTGATTTGTTAATTCTTTGTATTGTTTTTTTGTCTCCATTGCATTAATTCCTGCCCTGAGCTTTATAATTTCCTGCCTTCTTTGGGCTTTGTGCTTGACTTGTTCTTCTTTTTCTAGAAGCTTGAGGTACAGCATAATAATGTTTATTTGTGCTTGTTCTGTTTTCCTGAGGTGAGAATTCACTGCAGTAAATTTGCCTCTGAGGCCTGCTTTCATTGTGTCGCACAGGTTCCTATAAGTTGTGTACAGGAATGTGTACATTTTCACTTGACTGCAGATAGTTAAATTTCTTTAATTTCATCTATGACGCATTGGTTATTTAGGAGGGTGTTATTTCCATGTGTTTATGGAGTTACTGCGATTTCTTTTGTCATTAATTTCCAACTTCATTGCACTGTGGTCCGATAGTATGCATGGGATAATTTCACTTCCTTTGCATTTTCTTAAGCATGTTCTCTGTGCTAGTGTATGGTCTATTTTAGAGAATCTCCCATGTGCAGCTGAGAAGAATGTGGTTTTTGATGTTGTTGGATGGAACACGTTGTAAAGGTCTACTAAGTCACATGTTTGGTTTAGTTCTGTTATTTGTTTACTGATTTCTTTTGTCTAGTTGATCTATCTCTGTTAAAATGGCATATTAAAATCCCTTGTTATGATGTGTTGCTGCTTATTTTGTTTTTCATGTCTGTTAAAATTTGTTGTATATAATTGGGTGCTTCTGTGTTTGGTGCATAAATGATTATGACTGTTACCTCTTCCTTTTGAAGTTTCCTCCTCACAGTATGTAATGACCTTCTTTATGTCTTTTAATTGTTCTTGGTTTGAAGTTCATGTTGTCTTCAAACAGAATAGCTATACCTGCTTTTTCTGGGTTCCTGTCACATGGAGTATTGTTTTCCATCCTTTAATTTTCAGTCTGTGAATTTCCTTTTGAGTTAAATGTGTTTCTTGTATACAGTATATTATTGGATTTTGTTTCTTGATCCACTGTTTATATTGATGGTTATAACTGATATGTATTGGCTTGTGTTGGTCATGTTATTTTCCTGCTGTTGATTCCTCTTTTTTCCTCTGTTTAATTGCTTGCTCTGCTTGGTGGTTCCTTTCTGTTGTTGTTCTTGAAGTTGTGTTTTTTATCTCTTTCTAGAATATCTTTTAGTACTCTTTGTAGGGTTGGTTTGGCGCTCATGAAGTTCTTCAGTTGATCTTTATCGTGGAAATACTTTATTTCTGTATGAATTTTGAAGGATAGTTTTGCAGGGTACATCACTGTGGGTTGGAAGTTGTTTTCTTTCAGGACCTGAAATACTACACCTCAAGGTCTTCTTGACTTGATGGTTTGTGTTGACACATCTGCTGTGGTTCTGAAGGACTTTCCTTTTTAGGTCATGTTTATTTCCTCCAACAGCTTTTAATATTCTGTTCTTTGGTTGAATTTCTGGGATCTTGATCACTATGTTTGGGTGTAGATTTATTTTGATTATAGCTAGTTGGAATGCTATATGCCTCATTTACCCAGATGTCTGAGTCTTTTTCTGTGCTTGGGATATTTTCTGCTATTCTGCAAATAG